CTGTTAGATTTTCATAATATTTTAACATCACACTGTGACTATGTAAAATCTATATCATTGAATAATGTTTATTATAAAATGTTAAACACGAGTTACTTTTTATTCAAATGTGCCCCATGGTAGGAGTACATTTGAATGATTTTTTATATTAAAAAATTAACACACATAAAATTACCAATTAGTAAAAGTATATTATTTTAATACATTTTCTTAGTAGGTACTTATATAATATAAAACATAACAGTTTCTCTAGAAAAATTAAAAGTAGGTAGTTACCTACTTGTAAACAGAAAATTAACAGTCTTTAAATCTATGTTAACCGTTAATCTAGTTATTTGCGCTCCTTTTTAAATTAATTAATGTGAAATATTCTATTCGTCGTTTTTTGTTTGATGGTGTTTTTTTTCATAATTAGTTCTTGTTTTAAGCTTTTGAGTCATTGGAGGTTATAGTTCTTTTTAGTTCATCAAATTTACATTAAAGTTTGTAAGGTTACTCAGCTCAACAACAAATTGTAATATCACTTCCTTATCAACAAGAATCATAATAGGTGTTTTAGCCTTATGCTATTCAAATTTGTTTGAAACTTAAACACACGTATATAAAGCAAATTTTATGTGCTTCTTTTGAGGTGCTATATAGACGGAAACGTATATTTAGTTGCGTTTACACGTTTTAAGGAGTCACTTGTACTGATATAGTTTTTGGGATGTTTGGAATACCGGATTCACCTATTCCTACATCTAAAACTCGTCCCAGTCGATCTATCAGTAATACTAAAAGTACGTAGACTTTGAAATCTATTTATAATGCTGATATAATATCAACTATAAATACTGTTAAATCCGAAATCTTATTAGTTAATAATGAAATAGCTGATCGCCATTATAAGCAAATTGGTGGCCTTAGAAACGATTTTAAACGTGCACTCGCTCAATTCTCTGAACTTAAACTTGAAAATGCTAGACTAAGTAATGAAATTGTGACAATAAATAGATATAGATGCTTGATGTCTTTACCTATCATTTGGTATATTTTTTTTATAAATCTGACTCTTTACCTATCCATATGGTGGGATTTAAAATGACAACTTTTTCAACTTAACTTTTGAAAGTGTTCCGGAAAGTCTGATACTTTTATACTTTTAACTTTAATTTAAAATATATATATTTTTTTTAAATTAAAGTTAATGTAATGAAAAATTTATAATTTATTTATTATAATTTATAATGAAAAAAAAATGTTTGGACTTTATTTTGTCTTCATGGTGAAAATGGCTACCAAATGCTATTTTTGTGTGAAAATTCTCGATCTTATTTTTTACATATTTAACTTTATAATGCTATAACTTCTTGAAAATTGTATGGATCAACATAATTTTTTTATGAGAAATAATATTTATATCCCTTTTTCATTCGACATACTTTATCTTAATTAGGATATAAATAAGGAAATAGCAGATCATGTAACTTTTAGAATAATCCACCAATTTTTTAAAATTAAACACTATCTAAAGATTTGCATTGAGCTTTTTTTATGATGATGATTTTAATAACTGTCAGATATCATTATACTTGACCCAACTATACCACTGTGCAGTGACTCCCCCGTGCTGGGTTTTTATTATTAAACTGAAAATCAAAGAAAAGACAAATAAGTCTTACTCTTATGTTAGTAAGCTTAACATTAAAACAAATATATGTACTGTGAATAATGCCAATATCAATTACAACAATATTGTTGAACTAGTAAAATTATACATTCATTAAAAAAACCGTTCTTATCTAACCTGGATCTCAGTAGATTAATTCTGTATAGACGGGTTCTCCGTTAATCGTCAAATTATTAAAATTAGGTATAATTATCTATGAGCTCTTTCTTATGGCTGTGACATTCGAGCCTGACGCAATCGAACTTTATTTTATCCAAAAAACAGATAAATTAATGAAGAACGGTTCATTTTAAAAAAAATGAATAACTTTGCGGCCCATAAAAACGAATTTAATAACAGACAATGACATATAGCTACAAGTCATCAACAATAAAGCAAACAGTGTTCGTGTTATATGTCAGTAGGCATACAGGGTGATTTTTTTATCATAACCCTGTATGCTCAATAACAATGCTGTGTAACTGCTAATATCGATGTCATAAAAAACCAATTAGCTACCTATATTTGTTATCCCTTGTGTATTATACCTGTATATTAACTCAAAAATTTGAAACTTTAAATGATTATATCTAATAAACGAATTAAGTTATATTAAAAATTCAAATGGCATTTACTATTAAATTAAAAACTCCAACATTTTATTAAATTAAAAATATGTGTTACCATTTAAAAAAACAAAGTTGACCCCCTTACAAAGCATAAGGGATGAACTTAAAATGTATTACATAGTTAAAAATTCAAGAATAATATGTAACTAAAGATAATAATAAAAAAAAAATGTTTAAATTATTATTATTCTACAAGTAATTGAGTGTGTTATGATAAAAAAATCACCCTGTATAAGCACTCGAGGGACGACATTCGCGACAAACTACCAGTAAATCAGGTAAAGGCAGAACGCGCTCATGACGATGAAAAACTGACTGCCATCACGCTATCCTGCTATGGTAACAAACAGTAACTATGTATGAGTAACGGATTTGATTCTTAGGTAAGAGTTGCTTAACTTGGAACTTTAAAGACTCTCCGAAGAAAGCAATATAAAATTTGTCAAAAGTTGTACAACCTATTGCCTAATTTGATACACGGTGTCTTTAAATGACATTATAGGGTCATTAAGGTATATACATTTATAAAACTATAGTATACGACCTGAACTAAATGGAATCCATAAAAATAATTTATCGTCATTCCCGTTTTAATTCAGAAATAATGATATGAAATGAACATTCTAAGTTTTATTCTAACAAAATCTTGAAAAATAATAATTTTTAATAAAACGGATAAACTTTTGTGTGATTACAACTGGGAGAACACATTATTAGTCTAAATACATTATAGTTTGGGTCACATTTATACAGATTTGACCCAATTTTTTCCGATACCGATATTTTGTGCCCGAGAGATCGAAGTGGTTAAATTTAGGAACAGGAGCCCCTACACAGAAAAAAATATTATATTTATTTTTCATGTGCTGTATTATTGTTGAAATTAGAACACATGATTTATGTCCCATATCTATTTTTTAATTTCATTTTTTAGATTTTACTTATAGTTGTATACGAACATGTTATAATGGAGTTTATTATCAAATGGTGAAATGTTGTTGTCAAGTATGTGATAAACAAAAATAAATATAGGGATCAGATTTAAAGAACACTTAAGAAATATTAATAATCAAGAAGTTGATAAATCTCTTGTAGCTGAACATTTATTGACACATAATTACTCTATTAAAACCATAAAACTAATTAAAAACGTAAATAATTATAAAGGAGATAATAGAAATACTTAAAAATAAGAATAATTTAATTAATTGAGATCTTGGCCCACTTGAAAATTCAACATGTGTAAACTCTCAAAATGTGACAATGGACTTGATGATAAGATCGCTTAGTGATAACGTCACTAGAGATAAGATCACTAAGGATATATAAAGGAGTATTTTTCGGTCAGTGTGACAATATGTTTAGAGTTGAAAATGTAAAATACACAATGTTAAATTAATTTTTGTAACTTTTTAATTATTTAGTTTCAAATTAATGTTTTAGATATATTTTTAATTTAAAATCAAATATTTCCAATGCACAATATTGCTTTTAAATTTTGGTTATGAGAAGTTGTTACCTAAATACATACATTTCGTTCATACATTGCTGCTATCCGTTCATATTACTATGTTTGAACACATTCTTTATGCATAATTATAGTTACCAGAAATCTTTCTCGAATTAATTTAACAATTTTTAATATTTTATTTAAAAAAAATAACAAATGATCTAAATTTGTATTTTAATTAAAAATAGACAGAAAAATAACTTCATTTATCATTAAAAATTATATACGTAATCAAATTTGTTCATTTTTATATTTACTTTGGTTAAAAATATCTGTCGCGAGAGTCTTTTAATTTTAACAAAAAACATTTTTAGTCGTAAATTATATACAGTATGATTCTTTTAACACTATTCATTTTATTTCTCTTAAAATAATAATTATCTTATTTATGATATTTTTTAGTATCATATACATCAGTGGTCGGCAACCGGCGGCCCGCGTGGCTATTGAANTATCCGGCCCGCGTGGCTATTGAATACGGCCCGCTTTAAATTCTAAATCGACTAATTTAATTGAATATCATTTTGTATAAATATAATTGAACGTTGCGTTTTTGGTACGGGTATTTTATATAAGTCATATTATTATTTTAAGTTTTAGATAGTATTTTTTTGCATAATAAATAATGTAATTATAAATTTTTTTTTTTTTATCTGGCCCGCGAACTCTTTTTAATTTGTAAATGTGGCCCGAGAATTAAAAAAGGTTGCCGACCACTGATATACATTATATTTCTCGGTTAATCAGTTATTAATTACATTTTTAATTAATCCCTTATTCTTATAAGGGTTTTAACTTAATGCAATTAATTAGCAAGACGAGAACAAATTTTGACCCACTACTTCAAAAATGATTACCATTTTAAAATATATACTAGAGGTGAGGCGGGGTAGACGATATTTATCATTAAACATTTTTCAACCGAAACCCTCCTCCAGTTAGGGATAAAAATGTTAATAACTTCCGAAATTTGTTATCGACCAGTCATTATCTTAATTAGATTATTTATTATTTTACAAGATAATTGATTATGTATGTTGCTATTTAAGAAAAATTAAGTTGAAATCCATATAAAGACTAATAGATGAGTTAAAAAAGTAATTAATGTCTGATAAATCGAGAAATATATCACACTAGAAAATATGAAAAATAATATTCTTGACATAATTATTATTTTAAAAGAAATTGAGTACCTATTGTTCAAATAATCAACGTGTATAAGTCAAATATGTTAGGTATGTTATAGAATATTTAAATCCTACTGTTGAGCACTTCTTTAATAAGTTGTAAATGTATGAAGTTACTTTTGCTACAATGATACATCACATAGTATTCCAAACTGTTATCTTGGCTTTTTTGTATCAGCTAAATTGTCAGCCATTAAAAAGTGTAAGCAGATTTAATTTATTTAAATATTTTACTAATATAAGGTATGTAATACATACCTTATATTAGTAAAATACATACTATGGTATACTATGTATAGCCTAGAGATATTTGCTCTTTATATTTTAGCTTCGATGCGAAGCTGAGAAGGTATTAATTTTACTATGCGGTTTTTTATATTTGTGCCACTTTTTTTCAGCTCTCACGGGACTGATATTGCCTTTAAAAATTGAAAAAATTTCCCTAGTTCCCTATTAATGGGGAAATCTCCTACAAAATTACGATTTTTAAAATCGGCAAATTTCAACATTTTTTTAACTTTTTTTCTTAAAACTGCCATAAATTTTTAAAAAATGAACGAATCAAAATATAGATATTTTTATATACAAATCATATATATTTTTCTGTCATTTAACATAAATTTTTTTGAAAATCTGACTCTTTATCTGCCCACGGAGGGGATTCAAAATAGCATTTTCTGCACAAAACTTTAACTTTTTCAACTTAAGTTTTAAAAATATTGCGAAAATACTCCGAGCTTCAGACATATGTTAAAATAAAGTTAATGTTATTTACTATAAGTTCAAAAAAAAAAAAATTGTCCCGACAACTTATTTTCTATGTATAAATGATTGCCGTGGTTAAAAAACATGCATTTTTAGTGTTAAAATTTACGATTTCATATTTTATTTTTTTAACTTTAAATGACTATTACTATTTGATAAATGTATGGATCTATACAGGTTATTTTTCATAAATACTTTATGTTTACTTATTATATTTGACATACTTTTTTTAAAATTGACCATTTCCCTTTTTACAGAGGGAGTTAAAAACTTTAAAAATACGATTAAAACGTAGATTTTTTTCAACTTAATTTTTGAAAATGTTCTGGAAATACTACGAGCTTTAAATGTAAGTCAAATTAAAACTTATATAAATATTATGTTCAAAAAATAATTTGTCCTGACATCTATGGTCAGATTTTCATTAAAAATATATCTTATAAAAGCGAAATATTTAATGTATTTATGAAATAAATTTTATTCTGATTCATCCATTTTTTAATAATTTATTACAGATTATGATAAAAATTACAACACTTTTCATGAAAAAGTTTCTATTTTAAAATACCGCTTATAAGCAGGTTAAGCGTCATAATTCCAAAAATGTCATGCCATATAAAAAAGATATATCTAAGATATTTTTAAAAAAATTTTGTTTTGTTTCCTTCATATTTCACAAAATTATAGCAGTTTTAATTAAAATATATTAGCTTGAAAATCATGTATTTATGCGCCAAAATAATGTTTTTTATCGATTCTCGGGGACCTTTTACACGTAGAAGAACAGTTATTGGGACAATTTTCTTTTTAAGCTATAGTAAGTAACATAAGCTTTAACTTAACATTTATTTGAAGCTCGGAATATTTCCAAAATATTTTCAAAAGTTAAGTTGAAAATGTTTTGCTTTTATACGTTTTTTTAATGTTTTGAACCCTACTACGTAAAGGTAGATGGTGTAATTTAAATATAAGATATGTCGGATGAAAGGGATAAATAGAATATTTATAAAAAAATATTTGTATTGATCCATGCATTTTTCAAATAGTTATAGCAATTGAAAGTTAAAACATAAAATCATGAATTTTAACATAAGAATAGCATGTTTGTTAACTACGGTGGCCATTTGCACATAGGTGATAAATCGAAGGGACAATTTTTTTTTTTTGAACTTGTATTATGCAACATATGCTTTATTTTAACGTTTAAAGCTCGGAGTTTTTTCAAAAGTTATATCAAAAATAATACCTTCTAAACTTTGCATTAAAGATAAAATTAAAATTAAAATTAACTAAATAAAAAATTTTAAGAATTCCTCTTATTTTCTAAATGATTCTACTTTAAAGTGATTATCATTAGATATGCTCTCGCTAAATAAATAAAACAATATATATTTCAGAGAATAATATTATATTATATTAATTTATTACATTATGAATAAATGTATACATGTATCTTTTTTTTTATAATAGCAATGTGAAAAAAATGCACATTTTTTAACACTAGTAAAAGATATCTTTGGACCAGCTGACAATTTACTTACAGATAAAAAACTTCAAGAACTTTTAAAACAAAATGAAAAGGATGAAACATTTTTGATTTTTAGAGACAGAAACCTTAAAGATAAAATATGGAAATTAGGATGCAAGAACACAGAACTTTCACTTTATATAATGTACTACATCAAATTTGTCATGGTAGATAAATTGAATATAAATTATGATGTGCTAGAGGTATTCAGGGTAATTTTAAATCGCATGCTATCGATGTATTACTATATAATAGGTTTTTCTACAAAAGGCATTTGGTTCACATCAATTACTATAAATGCATTGATTGAACGAAAAATATCACCTAGAGAAGTTAACTTTTATTATATCTCAAATATTTTCGACTTTTGTAAAATATGCTTTTACAAAAATAATTTAAAAAATTTTCCTAGAACATATAAAAATTATCCTGATCTTAATACAATATACGAAATATCAAAACAATTAAAATTGTATTCCAATTCTTATCCTCAGACGTTTAATGAAATTTATCAGTATGAAGATGTATTAAATATTTATAGCTTTTTTTGGAATAATACTGATGGTTATAAGAAATTCATTCCTCCCAAAAGAATATTTCCAATGTATAATGAAACTTATATATCAGAGACATATAAGAGCGTGTGCAAATCGTGGAAAAGAAAATATTTTGAATTGTGGTTATATACTGACGTTATAAAGAAAAATTTGTTACTGGTAACTTATTATTATTTGACTCTACATAGTACTTATCTAGTAAATTGCTTTTCTAAAGATTTTAACAGAGAAGATTTTTTGAATTTATTTAAAATCCCATTAAACATAATAACTGAAATAGGTGTATTTTCAGACCAATTGTTTAAAAAACCATTCATAGGTTTCGTAGATGACATTGTAATAGATATTTAGCACTTATAATTTTATTTTATTTATATTTTTATAATAATGATTTTTTGAATAAACCGCATTATAATGAGAGATGATAGATATAAAAACACCAATACATGTATGAAATATTAACGCAAATTAATAGAACAATAGATTGCGCATAGATCTCTCTAAATTAATTAACTAGCCAATGAGAAGCATTGTGCAAATTAAACTAATTCTCCCCCTCATAAAACAGGCCTATAAAAGAGCAATTTCTAGCTCATTCGTCACCTTATTTTTTTCTAAAAATCTGGTCATGAAGCGT